ATCTTTTTAAGTGGGAGAACTTGCACAATTGGTGGCTGACTAAATACTTTTTTGCCCCACTGTAGGCTTGTATATCTTTCCTCTACCTAAAATCTTTAGTTCCCTCTAGTGTCCAGTTTTTGAAATCATAAAATTGCTTATCTTTGTTATGTTTGTAAAAACCAAAACAGGATCTATTTCCCATGAGAAGCTGTTGGTTCTTTATAGTTAATTCCAAAATCTTATTGTAAAAGTTTCAGTATTCCAATTTTATCTGGACCTTTAGTCTGTTTATAACTTTCTAAGATAAAAAACCTATTTGGCTTTTTGCTGTTTATTTCAGATTCATTAAATTCTTAAGTTTATGATTAAAATTTTATTTTGTTCAGGATTGAAAGCAGACTCACCTGGTGTTTTCAAACTTGTCATTCTGAAAGTCTCTAATAGCTTAAAAGTAGTTAATGAGCAATTTCCAAAAGTAATTAGAAAGTGAAGTTTGCAAACTAATGTCCTTTAAAAGTCTCCACTGTGGTTGCAAGCAAGATGGCCAATCCCGTTGTCTCCCGGCATGCAAAGCTGCAGAAAATTGCTGTCCTGCACTCTCCTCACGAGGAACAGTCATCCAGAGCACATGTGGGTGATCTCCCATCTTCTCCTTATCCAAAGAGGTTCCAAGGAACCTCTCCACTCACTGGTTCCTTGGTCTTTGCTGCAGTTTAAGGCCCGCTTTCACAGAGCTGTCTTCAGTTTGCCATACCTCCCCCAGAAACCTCAATCAGTTGAAACTTTTGGATGCTCTTCAAGGCAGCTCCTTGTAGAGCACATTGCAATAATGTAATTGGGAGGTGATTAAGGTGTGAGTGACTGTGAGCAGCACACCATGGTCCTGGAAGAGATGCAACTGGTGCACAAGACAAAGTTGTGCAGAGGCCCCTCAACCACAGCTGCCACCAGTTCTTGCAGCAGGAGCTGTAAGTTTGCCTACTTTGCTATAGAGCAGTGTTTCTCAGCCTCAGCAACTTTAAGATGTGTGGACTTCAACTTCCAGAATTCCCCAGCCAACATGCTGCAATTCTGAAAGTTGCTAAGGTTGAGAAACTGCTATGGAGAAGACTGTATAATCTGAGACCAGACTGGAGAGCTTCACAGACCCACAAATGCCTTGGATATGGCTCATTCCAACAATTACCTTCAGATTGCAATGCTTAATGTGACAGAGTTAGGGAATTATTTAATGTATGGGAAGTAACCAAGCTAACCATATTTACTTTTTAAACTGTTTTTTAAAAGAAAGGATCCCTTGAGCTCAACATCTGGTGATTACCTGGAAACATCATGGAGTTTTCTTAGTAGCAATACAAAAGTAGTTCACATTCTTTTGAGAATGTATTTTCAACTTCTCAATTTCACCCACAGCTCTGAGAATTCCTGGTAGTCTCTCATCCAAGGATTAATTAGACTAACTCTGTTTATTTATTTTTTTTCCTAGATCACTCAAGCTAGGCAAGTTGTAATCATTTCAGCTGGACTTAATTGAATGACATTTTAATTAATGTTAAATTGAATAATTAATGGAATAGAACATTTAGGTTTTGTTCTGGCCTCACACCATTTCTGGAGCATTGCCTTTGGCATATCAGTTATAGGCCAGTATGACCCTTGACCTCCTTTGCCCTCCCCCCCACCAAAAAAATAATGTGTCCCTGTTCTAGAGGGTTGTACCCATAGGCTGTTTTTGCTCCAGATGGACTTGCATGCCATTTTTTCAGTGAAGCAAAGTGGCTGGTTCTGCTCACATTCCCATATGATCATCTATGGTTTCTGGAAGTTTTCTGGGTTCACACAAATCCCTAAGCTATGCTGTGGTTGGTTAAGTTGTGGTTCACAGAGTATTATAAGCTTCAACTGGCATCAGCCTTTGGTCAGTCAACAACAGATAACTGAGACTTAAGGCAGCATAGCAAGGACAAATGACACTTGAGTTCGTAACAAACAGTTATGACTTCTAATTGCTAACATACACATTGAACAAATGATTTGATTATGTAATTGCCCAGTGGTCGGGTTAGGATGGTAGAGTCCGATCCAGCACATTTTTTGCTAAGAAATTGCCACTTGCCAATCAGTGATTTACCACATGGAAAAGTGCCATGCAATTCCTTTGGGTCACAAGAGCTGTCTTCCCACAACCCCACTAAGCCATCATTTGCTAAACAATAAACCATGGTTTTCAGATCACAAAAAATGGCACTAATCTACAGCAAGCAATCCCATTTTGGCTTGACATCATACTTGTATCCGGTGTGTATGCCAAAACAATAATATAGGTTAAGGGTACAACTCAGGGACCATTTGACCCACTGTGATGTTTTTTGCATAATTTCAGTCTCTTCCCTCTGCCCTCCTCTCCCTCTTATTTTATTTTAATGTAGCTTGTGAAGCAACTTCACTTATACTGCCTCAACACATTTCTTCAGTCTCGGGCGCTGAGTGTTGAATTCCCAGAGATGATGTCAGAAGTGATTGCTGCACAACTTCCAAAGATACTGGCAGGAATGGTGAAACCGCTTCTCTTTCACAAAAAGTGACTTGCCTCTCCATCTGTCTATCCACAATCCCACTCTTCCACCCCCATCTCTGGCTCTCTTTCTCATCATTTGTAGAGATAACATACACAAGTTGTGTATTTTTAACAATTGTTGGAGATTATTTTGGGAGGATGAGATTTTGCAGTGTTGGAATATTCTCAGTTCTGTGTCACTTCATATGCCTACCATTTTATGTATTAGACCTGGATTCAGTCATATTTAGAGAAGACCCATTGAATCAATGGGACAGAGGTCAGTCATGGATCAGTTATTTACACTGATTTCATGGACCTGTTTGGAATCTGGCCAAATCTAGAACCCCGTCCACTCTCCCTGCAAACCTTTACTTGCTGAGCCTCATCATCCTTTGTTCCTTTGCAAGTCTTTTTCCCCCCCAAGGCATGACCAATATTTGTCATAAGAAATGTTTTATAATAGGCCTGATTAAATTTCTGCTCAGATATCCATTTGAAATCAGTTTTTTTTTTAAGAACAGGAAGTCACCTTGTACATTTTCCCTTCATATTATTCATTTTTAAATTGCTATAATGGAGTAAAACTTCAGCTTTTATTACATTTCCATCTCTCTCTGTGTGGTTATATGTGTATATGTATATAAATATGATAGAATATGGTAAAATTAAAATAGAAGTAATCTTCTAAACTTGGAATATATTCCCTTTACTTTCAACTTGTCTTACTTTACAACACCTGAGAAAAGGCCATTTGCAAAACGGGATTCTTATTTCTGTTGTATTTGTAATGTGATCAGATCACATTTATTGCCTGGAACCAATGACCACACCACAGGTTGGCATGGGCAAAGTGAATTTCTGACTTTTTTTTTCATTGTAGATCTCCAAAACAAAAATCACAGTATAGGAATTATCCTGCCCTAAAAGCATTTTCTCTGAAAATGCATTGATTTTGTTGGAGCTAATTGACTAATTACACATTGCACTAAGCCATATTATGAGTTATTCGGTTTTGTTTTGACCACTTAGAACGTTGTTCGACCTAGCCATAGTTTTTAGCTTAACATGTTTTGTGAAGCCAGCCAATTGTGGCTAATTCAACAAACGATCCATAGATTACTGCAACATGTGAACTCAGTGATTTATCTTATTTATTTGCTTTATACTCTGCCTTTCCTCTAGGAGCTGAAGATGGCTTACACAGGTATCATCCTCATTTTATGTCCACAACAACACCCTGTAGGATATAGGCTGAGACAGTATCTGACCCAAAGTCACCCAGTGAATTTTCATGATTCAGCTGGACCTGAATTTGGGTTTCTCCATCTTAATCCAACACTTTAACAAGCATGGGTCAAAAATGTAAAGTTGGCAGCTTTAATCACATGGTCTCAGTGGACCTCTTGACTTTATTGATGTTCCCATGGATGCAGCTGCATATGAAACTATTTCAACACTAAAAACTGCTATAGAAGCAGTAAGTAAACATGTTTAAGATGGCATCCTTTAATTTCCGGTGTAAAGTGAAAAGTGTGCATTGTCTCAATAACCATAAGGCACCAGCAAAAGATAAAGACATGTCTTTATTCAAGAGGGAGGTGCTTTTCCTCTACCATTCCCTCATTTAGGGCCCAAATGTCAACTCACACTAATCTTAAACTTATTAAGTACAAAGCCTCTTGACAATGTGACAGATGTGCTGGCAAAGTTACTTATTTTTTGATTTTGCATTATGTATTGATTTTGTCTTTCCTCAAAGTGATGTGAGTTTATTACATTAATATCCCACTTTGCTTCTAGGAGCTGAAGGCAGGGTGCATAGTGATCTGTACAACAGAGCAAAATCTGTCGAATTACAATTCCCATAATCAAAAAATAGCATGGTCAGCCATGCAGCCTAAGAATGAGGGAATATACTGTTCATTTCATCTGGACTGCATCAGATTGGGAAAGGTGGCAATCCCGTGTAACGGACCTAACCAATTTTAATTGGCAGGAGTATTTCACAATTTCACCATTACCCAAAACGGCGCTGCTGCAGAGAAGTTACTGCAGTGCTTCATAATATTTTAAATAAAGCCTTTGGGGGTGCAGTCTTAATGTAAGCACTTCTTCTGGATTTGATCGGCTGTTCCTACCATATTTATATGCCACCATTTCTATTAAAACAAGTTGGGGGTTCCTCCCAGGTTTTCTGAGCCTGCATGAGCCTTAGAAAGGTAATGAAGGATTCTAGGTGACTTGTCTGAGCCCAGCGTGATGCAGGATCTCACATCACCCCGTAAACTTCTGATTTTGTTATCAAGTGGTGCTTTCTCTCTGGCCAAGAGCCAGTTTCTCATTCTTGCTGAAGGGAGGTTTTTGCAGCTGACCTCAGAGCCAAAACTGCCCCAACTTTGCTGGAAACTCTGTGGAAATACTGTCTGCATAAACCTGATCTGTCAGCTTTATTATATATGTATTGAGCTTTCCTGCTTTATGTCAAGATGACCTCGTATCAAATGCAGCGTTTGTTTCTAATTTAATTCCTCTTTTCCTCTCCTACCCATCTGAATGGTGGAGGGAGAGAAATGAACATTCTTTTGAGAGAGTTTAAAACTTGAGTCGTTGCTTTATCTGCAGCCTTTAAAAAAATTATTATTATTAGGTTTGTATCCTGCCCTTAGAATTAGAAATATAATTTTGGTTGAGGTGGCAGACATACCTAATACTCCTGCCTCCTATTGTCTCCACAGCAACAACCCTGTGAGGTGGGTTGGGCTGAGAGAGAGGGACTGGCCCAAAGTCACCCAGCCGGCTTTCGTGCCTAAGGCAGGACTAGAACTCACAGCCTCCTGGGTTCTAGGCCAGCCCCTTCACCACTCCACCAAACTGGCTCTCTTCACTTGAAGGTCTTCCTGGGGTGTGTTATGCTTTGAGTAGCCTGAAAGAAGTAGAGCTAGGAACCAGTGAGTTGTTAAAAAGAAGCATTTCAGAGAACTAAAATTCCTCAAGGTTGAAACCAGAATTCCACAGGATTGTTAAAAAGGAGATATGGGAAGGATTGAAACTGAGATCGCATAGATGGATAAAAGACGGATTGAAATAGATTCTTATAACTCAACATTGAAATTTCATTGTTTCGCTAAAAAGATGTGGGAAAGAGATGATAGACACTTTCAAGAGGACGAGTAATATAAACAATTCTTTTAAAAGGCTGTCTTTTTAATATCTCTTTCATTTTATAAATTGACCTTGATTCTCATAAAAAGGTTTTCAATTGCATAAGGAGATTCACCTCTGCAGTGGCAAGCTAATTTTCATTGGCCTCAGACCATGCCATGTTGGCTGGCAGTAGCGCGTTCCTAGCTTTTCAACAGAGGAGAAGAATATGAAACCTACATTTGCTGACTGACAGGCTTGCTAGCTACAGAATCCAGAATTTTCTGGGCAAATAAGCCAGAAAGGAGCATATTCTAAATAATGGCCAATGATGGGCCTTCCAAACAGGAGGAATAATCCAAAAAGGATTTCACTACTTTTACTTCACTACTCTTTGTTGCTGATGGCAATAGCTTAGTATTTTCTCTGCAAGTTGCCACTGAACCATGACTGTGGAATCAAACATATACAAAGAGTTAAGCTTACAAAATATTCTTCAGTTTGAAGAGAGTTCATAAGATAAGAAGTTATTTTATTACCCTCCAGTCCGAGAATTATTACAGAAGCTGTATCTGGGATTTGTTGTAGGCTAAAAAATATTTATGATGAACAAATATGACTTCATGTAATAACATCTTCAGTAGTGGTTTAAGTAAGTAAACAAGTTTATTGTTGTAACCACAGGTCATAACATAAGAATGCCATAAGATACATAAAATAACAATAAAGATTAAGTTGGTTTAGTTGGATTGCATAATGACCACTGTTTCAGCCTCACAATTCATGGCATTTTGTAGGTTCCACAATGCGATGCCCTTTGGCTGATTGGGTTATGGTTCCATGTTATATGTTTATCAGGCCACTATGGATCCTCAAGCAATAATTGTTAAATTGCTTGAATCCAACCACTGTAAGTGTGGTACACTTTTAAAATACCCCCAGATAATTTGTATATTACTCAGGGCTTTTTTGGGGGGGGTCTACCTTTAGGAAATGAATCTAAACTCATTGAATTGCTTTGCAAGGACTCAAGAAAATGAACTGACATTTGCGCTGGGAGAAGCTGACATACTGAGTTAAAGGTTTTGAACTGAGTGATGTGAAGCAGCTGCTTCATCAAAGTTCAATCACCCATACAGCTGAAACCTTTGAAAGAAGCAGTGTGGCCATCAGTCACAGCCTCATTCACTTATCTCTAGGGAGTTTGTATGAAGTTCTGTTTGCTTCTGTGGGCAAGTTGATTAAGGAAAAGAAAATCTAACCATCTAAAGGCAGTAAGGGGAAATTGAACTTATGCGGTTGAACTAAAAGTAGCACAAGATTATCCCCATCCTGTGGTTTTTTCTGGATTAATACAAAATGGAGCTCATTTATTAGGAACTATTAAACACACTGGACAGCAAGAAGACTACAGCATCATTCTAATGTTTCTGCCATGCATGTTGGGGAAATGCGGTCATAATATTTGGGATTGGGAAGTGAAGTGTCTTATAGAATTATCCTGTACTGTAATATTATGATTTTATGATTTGATTTTCTGTTTCCATTTGCTGTAAGCCACATTGGGAATAGAAAGGGTTTTTTTTGTTTTAATTAAATTACAAAAATAATAGTCAATGTGATGACCTCCTTAGTTTTCACAGCAATCATTGTGAATATGAGACAGAAATATTTCTAGATAGTATCATATTTGGTGTGATAGCTATTAGCATAAAAGGAAGAAAATGATTAGCTAGGGGAATGGACTGAAAATAACTAAATTTATCAGAAAAGCAACTTTTTCACTTATGAAACAAATCAAATGCACAGATATGGTAACAGTACTTAAAAAAAAAAAACTTGGGATAGTAGCTGATTAGAAACTGAATATGAATCAGCTATGTGATACGGCTACAAAAAAGGCAAATATAATTATAAGTTGAATCAACAGAAGTACAGGTAGCTCTCACTGCCTGCCTGCAATTGAGCCCAGCAACTCCATCGCTAAGTGGCATGATCGTTAAGTGAAACTTCACATGACTGTGCTGTTTTACAATTTACAAGTCAGTTCTGGCTGTGTTTGTTAAGCGAATCACCATGTGTTATTAAGTGTGATATCATGACCATGACATGTAACTTCCTGCCAGCTTCCCCATTGACTTTGCTTGTCAGAAGCCTGCTCTGGGGGTCGCAAATGCTGATCACGTGACTGTGGGATCATAAACGCATGCCCATTGCCAAGTGCCTAAGTTGTGATCACATGACTGGGGACACTGTGACAGACACAACTACGAGGACCAGTCATAAGTCTAATTTTTCAGCACCATTGTGACTTTGAATGGTCGCTGAACAAGTGGGTGGTAAGCAAGGACTACGTGGATACCTTCCAAATCATGGTTCAAGGTATTCTACATTGGTCAGATTCCATCACAAGTGTTATTCCCAATTCTGGGCTCTACATTTGAAGAAAGATTAAGAAAAA